AATTTTATTTTTATCAAACAAATTTTCTTGGACTATGCATACAATCTCTATTTGCAGCATACAATCTCTATTTTCAAAAAGTTTCAGTTTGGTTTTTTAATTTGCTATTCCCTTAATTCTCTGTAAAAGAAAGCTATACATTTTGATGCATACCTCTTGTATAGAATATAGACCTCTCATATAGTATATAGATCTCTCATATAGTATATGGCTTTAGTTAATATCATTTTTAGAAATTCATGGTTCTCAGATTTATTTTCTTATTCATTTTTTATCAATTACAAAAAGATTTTAAAAATACATGACATGGATTTTATGGATTTTTTTAATTAAATAAAATGTTTTTACTAAATTTAAAAAACGATTTTAATATTTAAAACCTTTGCTTTAAACGCAAACTATACAAAAGATGCACTACCCACAGATATGCACAACATGGATCTTAATTGGGTTTATTATATTTCATCCAGCAAATTTTTTTTTTGGAACACAAATCTTACATATCATTATCTGCATTATATAGAAAGGTTAAATTTTAATAGTCACCTTCAGTGGCACAGAAAACTGGGCCACTGAGGGTGATTACTCAAAGGGCAGAAACATTTTTTTAAGCAAAAGTGTATCAGTTTGCTAGTTCTTATAAACTTTTATCTGAAGTATTCTCTACTGGTATTGCACCAAGTGTTGCGACAATTAGAAGATGTTGCACTAAAATTTTGATATAGGGTGTGTTACAGCCAATTTAAGTGGTGTCTATGCTTCCTAATACTACAATAAACCACGTTTACCTTTGAATACTTCAAGAAAAACTCAAAATATTCATAAACATAAATATTTTGAGAACAAGTGACCCTTTCACAGGGCAAAGCTTGTATGCTGTTGGTTTTGCAAGAAATGGATTGAGGTAATTTTAATTTATCCAACCTCAATTCCATTGAAAATTGCTGGAGTTGTCTTTAAATGAGGTCTAGAAACTAAGGTTCTCTACAAGAAAAAATTAAAGTTATTTAAGGGATATATATGATGCAGATATGAAATGTTTGTAACTCAAAATAAATTATCTGTTAAATATTTTCAACTTTGTTGATGCAGTTTTTTCATCATATTATTTGTTGGATTTCATAGTTTGCATTATTTTACACCAGATTTACAATGTTATAAATAAATAAAATGTTACCATCGCTATGGTAACATTTTATTTATTTATAAAGTTTCATTTCTAAAGGTTCAAAAATAATTTAGTTCAATTTTTTAAATTAAACTAGAATCATTCTAGAGCATGGTTAAATGGTTACCTAGAAACAAAAAATGTTTTGGTTTTGTAAGAAAGATAAAGTCTGTTAAAGAAGTTGAAAAGAGACATGACCCAGATTACATATCACCTGATAACTCTGTAACACAAAACTATATTATAAATCTTTGTCATTAAATTTGATGTGTTTGATTAATTCACTGTACCAGTAAACTATTTTTTAATAATTAACACTCATGAAAAAAAAAGTTCTTCAAAAGTTTTTATCTTTATTAAAGTAGTGTAACTTCTTTTTTATATTACAAAATTCATTATCAACATGTATGCAAGTATACTGCAAGTAACTATTCAAGTTGAGAGTTTACAAAAAGTAAAGAAGAGAGTTTGGGAAATAGAAGAATAAACAATAGGTAAACATGAATCTGGTAGAGAACTTCTAAGCACTGTTATTTGATGTAAAAAAGTAGAAAGTTTTTTGATCGCGAAGAAACAATTACAGTAAAAATTTTAGATAAATAATGTTTTTGCTAAGAGGGTTTTGCTAGAAGAACCAGACAATGACTACAGTGTTCTATACAATAACAAATGAGACATTTATAAAGATAAAGAATCAGGAGACTAGAATCAGGAGACTAGAATCAGGAGACTAGAATCAGGAGACTAGAATTGGAAGTAAAAAAAATGCTCAAAAAAGAGGCAGATACAAACTTTTCAATGAATTTTTTTATTTCTTTAAGTGGGCGGAGCGTAAGATTATCAGAAAAAACAAAAAGATCAGGAAAGCACTCAGTAAAAGTATTGCCATTCATTTATATTGGAACCACATTGTGGTGATTATTAGCAAATAATAACTGAATTTTGTTTGTGTCATCAGCCGCTGCAAGCGAACATACAATGCTGCAAATATACAAAGCTGTCATTCAAACAGAGATAACATTCAAGATCATGAGTTGTCAAAAAATGATTTTTTATCGAATAAAATTTGATCAGTAGTCTGCTGATGAAATAAATATGAAGTTGAGTTATTAATTTTGAGAATTTTAATCTGTTTTTTTTTCTTTTTTTTTTTTGTATTAGAGAAGTCCTAACTCTGTGAAGTTTGTTGATTGTTTTTGACTTTATTAATTAGAGTTTAGTTTATTGATTTGAATTAGTTTTGGTTATGTTTTGGTTGGAATAATAAACAAGTTGATTGGTTGTTAGGAATAGATGAGTTTCCATGCAACGTCACATTTTGTTGTAAACAACATGCACGCACATACTTGTAGGTAGAAAAAAATAAATACGCAAGAACTTTAATATGCTTCTTGTATTTCTTTTATACCCTAAAATCAATATTTCCTTTGAAAAAATATGAAAATAATATTAATTATAATTAATTACAAATTTTTAAAATAAATTTTGGTAATAAAATTTTTTATTGTTATGAAAAACTTGTTTAAATTTTTAAAACATGTTCTTGTACGAATTTTAAACTCATTTTACATTTAAAAGTTGCTCTTGCAACTTTTCTACTCTTTTTAAATATATTTTGTTTTTGGTCAACAATAACACTTAATTTTTCAAATAGCTAACAGTTAGTAAACTTAGACTGATTTTCTTTTATTCTCCCTTGCAGTTAAAAGGTGAACAAAGTTTCATTTTAGCAATTAAAAAAGATCTTATTCTCAAAATGATTGATAAATTGACAATAAATAGTAGGAAAGTTTACTGTGTATGCCTAAGACCAAGTTTTGGAAAAATGATACCATGCAATTTTGCTAACTGCAAATAGGAATGGTTTTATTACACTTGTGTTGGACTAAAAAGAGCTCCAGAAAGTACTAAATGGTTTTGCAAAGAATGTGAAACCAAGCAATAAACAATAACAAAATTACTCTCCTTTAATATGTAATTATATTTTAAAACTGTAAGAATTGCTTCTCTGTAAATTTGTTTTTACATTTACATTAATCAAGTAACTACACTCATATTGAGATTTACAAGAGTGTAAATAATAATCATAAAATCATCTAATAAATCCACAAATACTTGAGTGATTGGCTCAGTCATATAAATAATGCAAAACTTTTTTATTTGACTTATCTCTCATTCCACATGTATGCGAAAATTAGATATTTGTTTAGATGTTTCCACTTCCCATCCAGATAATTGTTGTTTACCTTTCGTAAATGCTTGAATTTTTAACGTTGCCCCAACAGCATTTAGCTTGTCTGTAATCTTGAATCCTCTGTCAGCAAAAACAAAGTTGCCAGGATTAATCTTCTGACAAAAGTTTGACTCAAAGGTTATCTGTCCGTTTTAAAACTAACTCTGTCTGTTTGAAAACTAACTGCCCCAGGTGGTGTAATACCAATAAGATATTTAATGGTATTGTCATGTTTATAATTAGACCAAGTTTGTGATTGTGAAATTAAATTTTTTGGTTTTTCAATAAATACTTTGGTACAAATAATAATACAGACACAGTCTTTGAACTTTTTTTTAAAACATATAAGATGGCTACTCCCTATTAGTCCAGTATGAAATATATTTATTATGGGCTAGTCTGGGATTATTTTTTTTAAGTTCAATAATTTTATTAAATTTCTTATTCAATTCAATTTTGTATTGAATTAACTGAAAGTTAAGAGTTTCTACTTCTGCTTTATAAGAATCATGCTGGAAAAATTTAGAAATAGCTGACTCTTTATTTGGTGGATTTTATTTGGTTTTATTTGGTTATAGTTATCGAGCTCTATACCATTCGATTGGCTAGATGGCAGTATTGATTTTTTGAAAAATTGTTTTTTACATAAACCTTTATAGTAATCTTTTCTCTTCCTTTTTTTAATGGAATTAGAAATCGAAATAGAAATTTTAATCGAACTAGAAATCAGAACAGCTACAAGGTGATTAATTACAGATGGACTACAGTCAATGTCAGATGTGTCATCAGAACATTTTCCTAAAATATAATAAGTTCTTTTTACAATTGACGTTATTTAATTAAATTAATGTATGTACCAAATATTATAAATTACTAACTTAAAGAAACTTGTTCAACGTATTACTACATATATAGTTTTATTAGCTAACAAAATTCATCAAAGAATGTACCTGATACAAAATGTGCACTGCATACTCATTCTTTACTAATTTTTACACTTTCCTAACTGTCTTAATACTTATGATTAATAGCTTTAATCCAGTCTATACGTCTTCTTCTCTCAAAAGGCGATTTTCCTGATGGAAATTTATAAAACTTCAATCCAATTCATTTCTAAACTTGTTTGAGTTACCAACTGCACAAAAACTAATTATAATAATTTATTTCTTGTTAAATCAGTGAATCAGTAGGTAAATAAGAATCGGTGAGTAAATATAACATACAAATATCTAAATGTTTTTACTGGAAAAAATCTGATTATTTGTTTTTCTACCTACAAGTTTGCGCGCGCATCTTTGTTTGAAAACAAGAATGTAAACATTTGAAACTCATTTATAATAAATAAGTTTATACAGATTATGATCATCTTTGTTATTTTTTGTCTTAACAAATACTCTGAAAAATAAATAATTTAAAAATTCCTTATTATCTATGATTTCTATATTCTTATAACCTATAATCCTAAATAACCATTTGTATTAAACTAATTATGCAAAAAAAGTTTTTTGTTTTTAAACTTTTTTTAAATACTTTAAATTATTTTACAAAAACTTTTTAAATGCAGATTTTCAATTTAAAATAGTTATTATTTTATTCTAGTTTTTACATTATCAAGATCTCCATGCAATACAGCATTTCTTGAGACACTGCTTTAGACAATAATATAATATACAACATAAACAAAGCTCATGCAAGTTTGAAATGGTTATGAATCACAAAAGAATATCTTCTATTGCATCAAGTTTAATAAACTATGGTTACTTAAGTAAAAGTAATGAGCCAAGTCAACTGTTAAGCTATGTAAATTCCATAAATATTAATAAAGTTCAAAATATTGCTAATGTTACTGGAATTGCAAGGGAAGAAGTTTTTAATTTCTTCAACACAACACACTCATGTATTATAAATGCAGCCACTCCATTGAATAATACAGCCACTACATTTAACAATTCGTTTAAATCAAATGAAACCATGAAATCAATTTTCTCCTTATGGTAAATATTTTGGTAGATTAATGTTTCAATTAAAAATTTTTATTTTTTAAATTTTTTTATTTTTAAAATAGCAATTTAATTTTTTCTTCTAGTTTCTATCTTGATGATCAATTAAATGATGAGCAATCAAATGATTATCAATTAAATTATCATTGTGATATAATAGGATGGAATCATCAAGTCATTGTATTTATATGTTCATTAGCTGTAAGATTTTTTGTGTTTATTATAAATTTTAATTCATAATATACATAGCTTTGGAAAAACAATCTATAAAAGCATCTATAAAAGCATCAAAAGGTTTAAATTATTGTATCAATGTCTTGTCACTTTATTAAAATTCCAAATTATGTCTTTGAATGATTTCAAGAAGTTATAATATTTTTATTTTGTGAACTTAAAAACATTTTTTTTTTTGTTTAGTATATCTTCATGATTATTATGACATTTTTTACAAAAAGAAAGTTTTTAGCATCAACTTTATGTTGGGGTCGTCCTGGTTGCCTTTTGTATGTTTTTATTTTCGTAATTTTTTTTAATGTTTATACTGTAAACTGTGGTTACTTTTGACTTTGAACAAAAATTTAGGACTTTATTTAGATAAACATAACATTTATATGACTTAATTAATTAATAATGTAATTATTTATTGTTTGTTATTATATAAATATAGTTATTTATTATTATAAACAAAAAATATTTGATTTAAAACAATAGTTAAAACTATTGTTTAAATTAAATTTGTAAATATTGTTAAAATTAAATTATTTTTTTGTTTTTGCTGCTTATTACCAGTAATTTTTATTATTTTAATTATGAATTTTTTAAGAAAATTTTATATTTAAGTCCTGTTAACATGCTTGACTCTTATGAGAATCGCTTTGGTTATGCTTTGTCATTTGGTTTAACTGCATCATCATGTTATTCAGTTATTTCTTCTGAATATTATGATATTGTTGGAATGAAAATGGCACAGCAATTTTCTTTATTACCATTTTATCTTTCAGGTATTTAAAAGGTATTATTCAAGGATATATAAGTTATCTTTTAGGTATTTAAGATAAATTTTATAAAGTTTTATTCACAAATTTATGTTTTAAACTACTTTTAATATTTTAGTATTTGTCACAATGATGTTAGCAGCTATAATATCTGTATCAGGAGCACCATTCCTGATTTGTCAGAGATTAGATAACCAACTTGTAGGTGGTTTAATTGGACTGTGTATGTCTTTGGGGTGGTGAGTTTTTTAATATTTAAAAAAAAAAAAAATTTAATCTTTTTTTAATCCATTTTTAAACTTAAAGATATACTGGAGATAAACTTTTCAGTCAAGCTCAAGTAGGGTTGAAAATTTCCTGGAAATTTTCAACTTGGGAAAATTTGTGCAAATTTTTGGAAATTTTAGAAATTTTCAAAAAAAGATAAGTTATTTTATAATTAACGGGTAAAATTTTGTGTCTTATTAAGGCAGTTGTTATGGACAATTTTATGGTAAAATATTGAAAGCAGATTATAAAAATTTTCAAAAAACCCCTTTGAAAACAATTTTTTTGGTATTTTGTTGAGTTTTTTTATTATAACTTTATGTAACAACTATGATAATCTGTTTTCAAAATTTCTAAAACTGTTTTATCCTGTTTTTGCTATGCATATAAATGTTCATGGCTGTAGCAAGTTTTGTTTAAGGCTTAACATTATGTACACCCCCATTTCTAAATGGTATGGGGCATTTTTTATTATCTACTAAAATTGCCTACAAGTTACTGAAAACTGTAAAATCTGTAAAAAGATTTGATTAAATATTTACAGTACTTTACATTTTTTTCTTGATTTAAAGATGTTTTTGAAAAATGAAAGGCAAAAAGTAAAGAAAATTTTTATGCAAAGTTTGAACTATTTAAAGACATAACTAGCAGTAAAAATAAAGAACTAAAGATTTCAAAGTCATAAACTTCATCGCTATGTTTAAATAAGTGCTTTTAAGACTTAAGTCTCGCTCACCACAACCTTGCTAGAGCACTTTTGACTTTATAAATCAATAAATTAAAAATGAGAGGGGGGGGGGGCGCATCTGTACAAAGTACCAACTGGTTTCTTTAAAATAGAAATGAAGGGCTAAAATTCAATAAAAATGAAGGGCTAAAAGTTATCACCTTTTTTGTGCCAGTGGAACACCCCTTTTCTCCACACACCCTCCACCTAAAATCGCTTTTGTATGCTATCTTTTCACGTAAAAGATCTTTGTTCCTTTAAAACACTCTACAAAAATAATAAAATTTGTTAACCTAAAAAAGATTTTATTCTTTGCATTTTATGAATATTTTACATTGTAGTTGAGAGAAGTAAAAGCTAGAAATATGTTATACACAAGCTCAAAAGACAAGCTAACTTAAAAAACTTCTATTATTTGTTGTTTCACAAAAGTAAAAAAGTAAAAGTAGCATATAACATTAAGCGTTTTATTGCTTTTTAAAAAAATGCGCAATTCTTAATTTGATTATAAAAATTTGACTAAATATTTTGTGTTTTTTTTGCTTGTGGGTCTTTATTATTTTATATTTTTTTGTTGAATTATTTAAAGAATACCCAAACACTACAATGATAAAAATCATGCTCATACCTTAAAAAAAACATAAATACCATAGAACGCATCCAGCATCTGGCTACCAAAGTATCGCATGAAATGAAAAGTTTTGACTACAAAACAAGATGCATCAAACTATGACTCACCTCACTACTCGATAGACATTTACCTGGCAACCTCATCCAAAAATACAAAATCAAGAGCAACATCAACTCAGTTAGCTGGCATTGCTCCACTTAACAACCCACCAAGTTTCTGTCATTACAAGCACTTTCATTGTGAAATGGGCAACAATTGCCTTCAAAGCAAAATCACCACAGCGCATCATCTTTCATGCAATCATGCTAGCCCGGCTAGCTTGTACAAGGCTTACAGAGCACTCCGTTTAATTTAATTTAATCAACTAATGAATCATAAGGTAAATTTACATTCTTTAGTGACACAGCAATAATATTTTATATTATTACTATGTCTGTGTCCTAAAGTTTATAATCTGTTGTTTATTCCATATTTGGTAGCTAAAGTAAATATAAATAATTGACTTGTATTAAATCTTCTATCAATTTAAATGTGAACGTTATGAAAGTTATTGTCTTTTATTTAAATAGTCTTGTTTGTTTCTTTTTAATTTTTTTGTTTAGAATTTTTTTAAATGATTGCAAATAAAATTTAATCTTTTTAAAAGTACGTTTTATCAAGAGCTGCTGATGTATATTGTTGTTATAATCTTGTACATAGTTGCATAGTGTATAATAAACTATATAGTAAATAAATTAATTGTCATGATTGATGGAGGACTTTTAAATGCAAGTTCATTGTACATAATAGGTTCCATAATGTTGTAACTTTTTTTAGATGAAGAAATTATAATAAATTATATTTTCTATGAATAATTCATTATAAGTCATGATACATATTGTAGTATTTCATGATAAAAATATTATAGAAAGCATGCTACGACATTTGAAAATAAGATGCTAAAATTTGAAGCTTTTAACTGTAGGACCATGGATAACTAAATTGTTTTGTATAGTTTATTCTTTATTTCCAGGTACTATTTTTTATATATGTAATTTATTGGTTTAAATTTAGTTTATTATTTTGTTACTAAATTTTAAAAATAAATATCAAATCACTTAACTTTCAAATCAAATTTAGAATGTTTGAAAAAAAGTAAATGAATCCATATTATTAAAGAACTAAACCCAATAATAAAATCACTAAAATGGATTATTATCTAAATATTTAAATTTTAAAAATGTTTAAATTTCTTTTTTAGAGAAATTTTAACTAAACTCACACAAAAATGTGGCAGATGGTCCTTGGTCTTGTTGAATGCAACCTACCAAAAAGATTTGATAAAATGTTAAATATTAACTTCAGTATAAAACCGTCCAATTTAACCTCAAAAGCATTCAATTGTTAAAAATTGTTTAAACTTTTTTTTAATGTCTCTATCTCATCCAAATCACACAAGTGTGGAACCATGGGTGTTGAACTTTCAAGTTTATCTAAACCAAAATGGGTGCTTGAAGTTTTAAAAAAAGTCATTTATTAGAATTTGTTAAGTAAGATAAAAATTGATTTATGATGCTGAATATTTACTAGATTTAGATTAAGCTGTAAATTTACATATATGTTGTAAGTGTAATATATGTTATAAGTGTAAATTTATATTTACATATAATATATTATATATTACATTATATTGCAATATAAGCTTCAATATAAGTTTATCAGCAGACTGTTTCAGGGTTGGCATTAAAAAACCTACTAATAAAACCCAATAAAACCCACCTAAAAAAAACCCTATAAAACCCAGGCAATCTGAATTTTTTTTTAGATATTTTATAATTTTATGAAATATTATAACCAACATATCTGAAAATGTAAGCATATTATAGTAGATAGCTATAAAGGAAAAATTTTAATTTAAACAATATTATTTTTAATAAAATTAAAATTAAAAGATTTATTCAAGAAGATTTTTTTAGAACAAATACACTTTCGATAAGAATAATTATTTTTTTGGTATAATTTTTACAAGACGAAGTATCTATATTTGATACTGTGTATATATTTGCACAAGTTTTTATGCCTTTTCACTTCCTAATTTATTTCTAACTTTTGACCAGATAAAATCAAATAAGAAAAGTTTTCTTTCTATTGATTCTGAGTTAGCAGTAAAGTAGCAGGTTTAAAGTAGCAGGTTTAAAGTAGCATTAAGTTTGCAAAATCCTTCAGGCAATTTTTTCTGAATCAATTTATAATTTCTCTGGTTAATGATAGACTACCAATCACTGCACAATGTTGTTAATATAACTTGATTGCTCAACATTCTTGTAGGAAACAAAACCCAAGTACAAAGTTGTAAAAATGATTGTGAAGCGATTCTCATTTTTCAATCAGCAGGTAATATGAAACCTATAAAGAAAAAGAAAATTTTGATTAGCATGTGGCTGGGAAAATAAATTTGGTTTTAAATCAAAACTTCTTTTTACCTAAAAAGCGAGGATTGGTCATGTATGCAAGATAATGGTTACATGTCATAGCATCTCTTCTTGAAAGCTCTGTGGTAATGACTTAGTTCAGAGTAGTTCAGAAATGAAAGCCGCAACTCAACACATTCAGATAGGTGACAGCTGTCACTTAGCATCTATTTCAAAAAATGTTGATTAATTAAATCAAAAATATTTTTTATTTAATTAATCAACATATTTTTTTTTTTATTAATTTTCTTTTATGCCTATAAAGTCTTATAATAAAAACTTTAATTAAAAAAAAAATACTTGATCTAAAACAACACCAAATTATTTGAGTTGGTTTTGAAAATTGTTAGCTTCTCTAAATATTGCTAAATTTTCAATAGTTTTTCTAATTTTGATAAGTATATTATGATTATCTACTATTTATACATAAATTAGGTAGTTTTTTTTATGTATATATTAAGTCTCTTATTTTTTTAAATCTTATTTTCATTACCTGTTACCACAGCAAATATTTATTTGTTGCATGTTTCCTTAAAATTTTTAACGACGTTACAAAGGGTTTGGTACAATACTTGTTTTTTTATTTGATGCACAATCAGTTATGCATAAAAGTTTAGACTTAGATCTGTCATTCACTCTGTCATCTGTCATGCACTGTGATCATTAGTAACATTACTTTATTTATTTTGCATAATTTTTATTGTTTTCTCTTCTCTGGCAAGTTGATCCATCATTTTATTGTTTACTTCCTCATAGAATTTTTCCAACAACTCTCCTCCAAGCATTTTATGATTAGGTGAATTATATCCTGGTCTCAATGAATTAATCATGTCTATAAATTCTTGATTTTCAGAAGTTTTAAATTTGCACTGGAAATTTTTTTTTGCTATTTTATATCAATATTTTTTTTTCTGTTCCATATTAGTTGATATAGTGTATGATGACATCAATCCTTGCTTACTTTGTGTTGGCAAACTTATAGAATTAACATTTAAAAAAATTATAAACTTATAGATGCCAAAGAATTTTTTCTAACTTGAGATGACGATCCAGCTATTTGAGCAGATGTACTAATATTTAAATCATTATTTAGAATTACATTATCACAATTTATTTTTTTTAAAAGACTTACTTTTGACTAATCTAAACAAACTATTTTAGCTTTAAAACACAATTATAACTTTTATTTAAAAGCAAGTGTAATTGCTTTTAAATAAAAAGCAAAAGAGAACTTGTGTCAGAGCTTTGCAAAAAAGAACTTGTATCAGAACATTCATTAAAATTTGTTGCTTCAGAGTATGAATATCTATATAATTTAGATGAGGGTTAGGATGGCCAAATAACTTTTTGTTGCAAAAAAAAGTTAGTCGGCCATCCAACTTGAAGTTTTTTCAATTTTTTTTTCTTCGAAATCTTCTCAATATATATCCAAGTATTTGTTGATGTCAAAGCTCAAACAAATCTTTTATCAATTAGGGGTTTAAAGTTTCTTGAGACGGTTAATGGTGAATGCTTTTGTGGTATTTCAATACTTCATATTGCATGACTTGCAATATATGTGCACTAGCAAATGTTCTGAACAATTATTGCAAAAGAGCTGACCAACCTTCAAAATATAGAAAAAAAAATGTATGAAAAAGTTCTAAAAGCATTAAGGAAGCTGGCAACATTTCATAAACAATTATTGGGTGTACAATAAAAATTCGGGTCAACTTTAAATTGAGATTTTGCTAAATCCACCAATCTTTTTTATTTATTTTATTTTTTTTATTAAATGTTACTTCCTTATCTTTAATTGTGTTGGTGAAATTTTGTTTACAAATCAATGATTTGCAAAATGTTTTTGAAACAAATTGAGGTGCTTAAAAAAGTTGTGCATTTTTTTTCAAAAATTCATCAACATTATATTGCTAAATTGCTAAACGTACAAATGTCCCAAAATCTACAGTCATTGATATAATAAATAAGTTTAAGATTACTCATAGATTCAAAAGAAAAATTGAAAGCGGAAAAAAGAACACTTTTTATAAATCCAAAAAGATTAAGTCAGTTCTCAGTTCAGTAGCAAGAAATTCAAACTAGTTAGAGCAAGATCTAGCTCAAGACTTTTGATCTCTTGCCAAACAGTCCATCAAGCCCCTTAAAATTAAGTTGAAATTCTAATTGATGTAAACACATTTAATTAAAAAAAATAAAAATAAAAAGCATTTATGGTTTTAGAGAAATGTCAATTTAGTGTTTACCCGATTTTTCCGTGTCCACCCGATATTTAGAATTATTGCTATAGTTAGTTTAACAATAAAAAAAAAAGAATTTATTTGATGAGACTTTTGAAGTTTAATTCATGACAAAAATCTTGTAACATAACTAACTTGTAAAAAAATTAAAAAGTTACTTTTAATATAAATGTGGTTTTTGTTTTTATTGAAAAAGCTTATAACAAAAACAAATCTTTTTAAAACAAGAAAAATACCAATTGACTACTAATTTGACATCACATTCCGCATAAGCAGGTCTTGTACCTTAGAAGGCTTTGAAACAACACAATTAAATCATTTTGTTTTATTAATTGAATTTAATAAAAACATTAAAGGTTTTTTTTGAATTTGTTTTGTTTATGATTGTTTAAATTTAGGTTTGTGTATGAGTTATCATGGAAGATTCCTATATTATCAGCATGCAGTTTGGGTAATTTTAAATTAAGTGTAAGTATATTTTTATAAGTACTTTATATTTTATCATAACTAATTTCTAATATTCTTTTGTCATTAAAAAGCAATCAATAAATTTTTAAAATCTGTAGATTAGTATGAATTATGTATTATAAATTTGTTTTGTTAACACTATTTTTTAAAACATGTTGTTTTATCTTTATACACTATATGTTTGCTATAAATATATAACTGGGATTAATTAATTGCAATAATATAAAACTTTTATTTGGAAATTATTTTTATAATGCAATAAATACTAAAAAATCTTTTACTTTTATCTTCTAATCTTCTACTAATTATGTTATATGTAGTTTCATTCTTGTTTTTAAAAATATCTTCAATGACTACTAAAAAAAATTAGAGTTTCATTTAATGATATGCATCAGCTACTCAGTTGTTAATTTCTTTCAGTTCTATTTCAAAAAGCTCTCTTTTGAAAATTTTCCATTTTGAAATGATAAAAGTAAAACTACAGAAGTGAAAAAAAAAGAGAAAAATATAATAAAAAGTTTTCAAACATAGTAAAATAAAAACTTAATACAAAATATATCCTTCTGAAATCTAATTTGATAAATTTTTATTGCTCACATGCTGTATTAAATCTATCCACTTTAACCTTTTAAAAATTTAAAGAACTTTGTTAAATTTTAAGAACTCCCTCTCCTTTCCTCTTGTTGGCAAAAAATAGCCGTAATAAACTCTTGGTTTGTCACTGTGAGTGTATATATATATATATATATATATATATATATATATATATATATATATATATATATATATATATATATATATATATATATATATATATATATATATATATATATATATATATATATATATATATATAATTATATTTAGATGAATAAAAAATTCCTGACATGATTTCCCAGCTATCTGAGGGTAAAGCAAGTTAAAATTTTGAAAAAAGTACAAAATCAACCTCCCTTACTACCCGATACAATATTGGCATAATTAATATGTCAGTGTATAAAAGAGTAATATAGTTGTGTTAATGAATGTTTGTTTAAAACGCTTCTTGCTTTATATAAAACTCCAATGCTTTTTGCAATTTTGTTGCATAAATGTCCGATGTGATTCTTCCATGATATATTTTCATCTACAATGATACCTAGAAAGTTTGTGAAAACTACTCTTTTTATTTGAATATTATCAATATGAAGAAGAGATATATTACTTGGAAGTAAATGTTTTTTAAATCGTGGATGAAAGAAAATCCATTTAGTTTTATCAATGTTGAGTGAAAGTTTATTTGACTTAAATTAGTCAGATGTTTTTGTTAGTTCAATGTTCATATCATAAAAAAGTTTATTGATGTTCTTATTAGACAGGAATAGGTTTGTATCATCAGCAAACATTATAGTTGTTAATTTTGAGACTTCATGGAGATTGTTAACATAAATTAGAAATAATAAAGGCCCTAGTATAGATCCTTGTGGAACTCCACAAGTTATATTTAGATAATCTTGTGAAGAAGGTCCATCGACATAGACAAATTGTTTACGATGTTTTAAATAGCTTTTTAGTAGTTTTAAAACATTACCAGTGATACCATAATGTTCAAGTTTTATAAACAGTATTTCATGGTTAATTGTGTCAAAAGCCTTAGATAAGTCTATAAAGACGCCTAAAGTAAACTCTGACTTTTCGAATGAATCAGTTATACTACGAGTAAGATGAATTATTGCATGTTCAGTAGAGTTATTTCTTTTAAAACCGTATTAATTTATGTAAAGTATATTATTAACAGCAAGATGATTAGATATTTGGTTGAACATAATTCTTTCTAAAATTTTTGAAAAAACAGAGAGGATAGATATTGGTCGACAATTACTGACATTTGAAGGTTCACCTCCTTTAAATATAGGTATTTTGGCTATTTTCAATTGATCGGTGAAAATTCCTTGATTTATAGAAAATTTAAAAACTTTAAAAATAATATGTTTTATGGTATCGTATGAATCTATGACTATATTACAATTTATATCATCAGGACCAACTGCTTTATTAGTTTTAAGCATTTTAAAAGCACTTTCAAATTCTGAAGAAGATACTTCAAATTTATTTAAACTAGAGATTAATGGAAACACGTAATCATTTATTGGATTAATCATATTTGGAATATTTTTAGGTAAATTTTGGCCAACAAAATATTTATTTAATTCTTATGCTATTTGTTTGGGTTCATATAAAAATACGCCTGCAACTTTTATAGTGTTAGGCACAGAGCATAATTTTAATTTACTATTTAGTGGAATTGCTCCATGTTCGAATAAGTTATCGTAAAACTTTTTAATGTTGCTATTAATATATAAATACATAAATATATACATATATATATATATATATATATATATATATATATATATATATATATATATATATATATATATATATATATATATATATATATATATATATATATATATATATATATATATATATATATATATATATATATATATATATATATATATATATATATATATATATATATATATATATATATATATATATATATATATATATATATATATATATATATATATGCTAATAGTGTTCATTTTTTTACAAGTTTTTTACAATATAATGCAAGAGATTACGTTAAAAATATTTACAACTTTTTATCTTTTCTCTTAAAAATCAAAGAAATCATACTATAACTAATAAATTTTAAAAAAATTCTATTTCTTGTATATCTCAGCCATACTAAAAAAATCGTACAAAAGAAAAAAAAAATAAAAAAAAGTAGGAATATGATCTTAATAGTTTTTTTTAACACGTCTTTTATTAACACTATTCTTATTAAGAATTCTTTAACAAGATTCACAAAAATTGTTGCTCTACAGCCGTATTCTCATCTCTCCGTTAAGCTTAATGGAGCGTTAGTAAAAAAATTTCTTTTTAACTACATTAATAAAAAAATATAAAATAAAAATATTGTAATGAAATTTCAGCCAAAAGCTCCGTTAAGCTTAACGAAGAGATGAGAATACGGCTGCTGGGTAATTTGGTGATACAAAAGATAAAAAAATAAATTTTCTCATCTAAGACTCGCTTAACCAATCAATTTTCTCATCTAAGACTCGCTAAAATTTAAATTTTACTATAAAAATCTGAATATAATAAAAAATAGAAAATAAATTTTTAAAAAATTTAATTTTAATCCTAATCATTTTTACACATTAAAAAATTATTATTTATTATAATAATTCATTACATAATTTAAGTGTGATTATTTACAATATTTTAGAAAAATACTAATTTTAAAAATTTAACTTAGAAAACTACATCAACTACGGTTTGGAGACTAAGTTGGCTCTTTTTCCTAATTGGTTAAGGGCTACTATATACTTTGGCATTTCTTCGTTTGTTTGAAATTTTTTTCGAAAAACCAAACATGCTACTCTTAAAGGAGCCGTACCAGAATGCGCAATAACTTGGCCAGAAATTCTACCAAAACCGGGTAAAGAGACATCCTTTACGTTAGCATAGCAACTGGATAAAACGCCATCTACAATAATGTTTCCACTCATAGTTAAAGGAGCGTAAAACCCAACTAAAAACAAAACTTAAAAAAAATGACTGAATCAAGTAAAAAAGTATTAAAATTTAAACTATGTTTGTTTTATAAAAAGAATTAAAAAAGTTTTATAAAAGTTTCGAAAGATTGCGATAATGGTTGATCCACCAACCACGACATTGGTTAATAGACCAATCACGATATTGGTTGGTCTACTAACCGCGATATTGATTGGTCCATCAATCGCTAAAATTGGGTGCATCAATCGCAATATATTTGAACCCTGCGTTCGTTTTTGTTAAGTGTAGGTTGTATTATTTCAACAAGATGTTGCGAAAATTTATGAGCTGGTGTGCCAATAGTATTAATAGCCAATTGAGATTGATTTGACAGCGATTACAATCTTCTAAATCGCAGGAAAAAGTCTTAAACCGCGACAATGGTAATTTAGTGATGACACGTCATTGGAGACTACTCTTTGTTAAACTTAACAAGTTAAATCTGTTACGTTGCAATTACATCATTTTTGTTTTGATTTTTATGAATTTTGAATAACGGTTTTGTATAATGTATGTAAATAAAAAGTTAGATAAGAAAAAATAACTTTTTTACGGCACTTAAAGTTTTATGTCATTTTCGGCATTATCAGCCATATTTAAATCGTTTAAAAATACAATTTAAAATTACAAAATTCGTTACAAAATTCAAAAATACAATGGAATGAGTTCTGATGTCAGATAATAATGACAATAGTAATAATATCAATAATAACAATAATAATAATAGCAATAATAATAATAATAATAATAATAATAATAATAATAGCAATAATAATAATAATAATAATAATAATAATAATAATAATAATAATAATAATATGGAAAAAACATCTTTTCTAATCGCCAGTGTCAAATAGAGAAGGAAGGAATATGTTTCTGTCTACACTTAAAAACAATCTCACTCCTTTTATTCAGTAGATTAGTTTTTTAGGATTTCATATTTTTTGGTGAGACATAATTTACAAGATTTGGATGTTGGATTAAATGCTTTACATCGCCTGAGAATTTTCCGCTTAACTATAGGAACTAAATTAGCTTCTTTTAACTTCCATACCTGCTTTGAGAGCTCAGTATCATTTTTGTATTTAGAAATGTTAAAAGATTTAGTATGATTAGCGTATCTTAATTTAAACTTATACCAATGTAAGATTTTTCATTAGAAGATGAATCACGATTAGCAGTGGTTACAGTTGCTTGATATACAATATTGCTTGTTAATTGTTGTTAATTGTTTAATTTTACAGTGAAAACTTAAATGAATGTTTGTTCGTTGTTGGTTGCTTGTATTATTCTAAATTTTATAGCTTGTTTCCTTTACTTTGAATAATAATAAAAAAATAAGACTTATTTGTGGACATGTAAACATAAATTTGTGTATATTTTATGAAATA